CAGCCCAGCGCCAGCTTCCCGGCCGTCCCGCCGGTGGTCATCCCAGCCCAGCGGATAAAGCGGCGCGAGTGCTATTGGTCCTGCGCGGACCCGCGGGCGTGCGTGCCCTTGGAGGCCGCATACAGGCCCAAGCCGAAGCTGAACGGAGAAGTTTTCCGGAAGATGTGCGAGGCGGCGGGCATCGAGGACTACCAGCTCATGGATATGGTGGACCAGGGAGTGTCCGGCTTGGACGAGTCGCGGCCGTACGCGATCGTGCTGAACGGCAACTACGCTAGCCTGGCGCCGTACTATGGCCCGGTGTTTGAGAAGGCGGTGAAGGAGGTGAGCCAAGGGCAGCTTCGGCGGTTCACCGTCGAGCCGGAGCATTTCACCGCCGAGAATGTGTGGTTGCCATGCGTGCCGATTAACATCGACTCTACTGGCTCCGCAACGCGGTCAAGCGATGACAAGCCGGTCGGACTGAAGAAGGCTCATAGGACGGTGGGCGGCGGGAGCCCGGAGACCATGCCGGAGTATTCAGGCAACCAGCACGCAAGGGTTGAGGAGCAGTGGCCTCGGGTCATCCTCGACGGCGTGGCGCAGCACGCCAAGTATAACGCCATCCTCTACCATCCGGCGAAAGCACTCAAGGAAGAGCTGTGCGGGGCTAGTTGCGATTTCGAGGGCTATTACAACCAGTTCCACCAGGCAGTGTACGAATGGGCTCACAGTTGCTTCGCCATGGTCACGCCTGAAGGGAAGCTGGGGGTCTTCATGTCGGAGGTCATGCAGTTTGGCAGATCTTACGGTCCTGCCGTGGGCCAATCTATGATGGACGCGATATGCGAGATCACTAGGCAGGAGTTCGACCGCGGGGACCGGCCCGTCATCCAGGCGGCGCTGCGCGCGGAGGCGCGCCAGAGTGGGCGCCGGCGAGGCCTGGCCGGCCCGTTGAGCATGTGGATGCGGCGGCGGGAGACTATAGCTCGGAAGTTGGTCGACGAGGAGGAGAAGCGGCGCGAGGCCAGTGGCTACTTTGAGGTGAGGTCCAATGATAGGCTCCAGTGGAGGGCAGCCCGCTTGAAGCGGGTCATCACGGAGCAGCAGCGCCTCTACGCGTTGTGTGGATACATTGATGATAGCCACATGGCAGCGGTGGGCCGGAA